GATATCTAACCTGTGACCCTTTGGGTGCTTTTGTACTACTGTTTGTTCCACTGGTTTTGGTTTCAGTTGTGCTTACAGCTGTTCTATCGTTTCCGTCCGATCCACTGGGAAGGTACTGTGCGTGAATCTCTCCTATTACAATCCCAGATTTGGTATCAAAAATGGGCGTCAGTCTCTTCATATGCTGTATCACAGAGTTGTCGATTTGGGGTTCCTTTTTCGATTTTTCAGGTAATCTTTCTGAAGTTGAAGATTCTGTTGCTACATTGACAGCACCTTTGACCTCTGTCTGACCTAGATTTTCCTGAGGCACAGGGACATCTTCATTACTCTGAAATTCAACCGTTTTTTTTTTTTAGATTTCATGAAAAAAGAACATTTTTACATTCCTTACACCATATTACGTTGTATCCAAAAAAAGGAAACATTTAACAAGTACGAGTATTTTCGATAAAGAATCTCTATCTTAATTCAAAAGTTTTGGATGTTTCATAAATAAAACCTAATCAGTTACAATAAATGATTGTTAATGATGTACATACATACCTTTAACTTCTCTTCTTGTTCCACTATGTCTGCCCAATTGTATGGGAATCTTAATATAGCTAATTTCGCCTCCTAAAATATAACCGTTGACAGGGACGTAGCAACAGTGGTGGCCAGGGGGGGCCTGCCCCCCCCCCCCACTTTTTTTGCCAACAATACTTTTACTATTGAAAATGTTTATTGAAAGGCTGGTTGGCCCCCCCCCCCCCACTTTATACTAAAGTAAAGTAGTATGAAGGAAATATAGTATTGTAAGCTGAAAAAATGGAATTTGAGAGGAATGCCTCTTACCCCCCCCCCCCCCCCCCCCCCCCCCCAAATCGGATTTCAAGTTTGGGCAATCCGGTTTTTTTTTTTTTTGCTTGTCATCTTTTTCAGGTAAGTAAAAAAAAATCTGTGGCTGCCCCCCCCCCCCTTTCAAAATCGATGCTACGTGCCTGGTTGAATCTATATGTGTTATTTCAGCGTGACATAAATTAAAAAAAATACTTTTATCTTTTATTGTATGAAGTAAAATACACCTACCACACTAGTCACAGGGTCCTCTCCAAAATCCAAGGACTCGTTCTATAAAACAACAATCAGATTTTAGCTGAAACCTTTAATAAAAGCTTTATTGGACAAAGAAATCTTAATCTAGGTTAATATATACATTGTCCCGTTCCCTTTTTTTTACTCATTACTATGACTATAATCAAGCATTTTTTTTCCAGTTTTATCTCATATTGTGACGTCACAGTTGCTATTATTATGACATTTAACAGTTTATTAATTTTATTTAGGAAAACACACAATAATTACTAGTATTGTACATACAGTATATAGCATATTGAAACAAACAACGGAAGTACATTCATATCAAATTGCAAAAAATGAGCAGTTCTGCGATTATATCTTTATAGTCGAAAAACATCGTTTTAAAAAAGGGTCTCCCATACCCACAGAAACTTAATTATATTTTTTTTTCTTTATTGATTTAAAGCAAAGTTGATACACAAATCTTTTTGGCGCATATTTTATATAGACGTAATTTTTTATGACAAATTGAATACTTTTACTTCGTAACACGCAGTATTATTAAGTTGTGTCTGTAAAAATCCTTCAAATAAATTATTTGCATATACATGTGTATTTTAAAATTGTTAACTAGTGGACTCTACTACTGTCATCAATATAACTATAACTTTTCGTAAATAAATTGATCCGAAAGAAAATGCACTAGTTATAACTACTACATTATGTGCACATGTTCTTAACTTCAGCTTGTATAAAGTTTCTACTCACCTGATTATAAATATCCATTTTTTTTTCAAGTACACGGCTTTGCTTCTGATGTCAACATTTTCCCGACATTTGTTGCTAATAATCTAAGGTATAATGACGTCATAATAGTCATTGTGACGTTGCAGTTGTCTGTGACGAAAAATTTATAATATCTCAGTGTATTCAAATTTCAAACGCAAAAATAGCTTTAAAGGCCACTTTGAATTGAACTTTTATTAAAGAAAATCTATCTAAGTATGTTCCTTGAAAAACTGTCCTCTGATAGCCTTATAGATATTGTTGTTCCACAACCTTTATAAATTTGATGTCCTTAGCTGAAGTAAATTTACACGCCCAAGTCTCGGTTTCTGTAAGGGGTGAGAGTCCAAAATCTAAGACGTAACTTGAGAAAAATTGTATTTTTGATTTTGTAAAACTTACGTTTTTGGATTGTCTTATTGAGGGTGGGGGTAGTTTGGTGGTGGGTTGATGGTTTTGATTATGAAAATTGCTAGGCAGAATTCTAAAAGCCCAAAATATTAGAACAATATGCATTTATTTGCAATTCTTTCAAAAACAAAGAGGAACAACCCTAAAAGTTTAGGGAATGCTACAGCGAGTTCTCTCCCTTAGTTGTGTTATTCCATCATTCATCTTTTTGAAAAACGGAAATGGAGTTCATGTTTAACACTACCAGACTTGCTTCGGATGCTGGATCTGACCTACATTTTCCAGATGAGTGACCAGGTTAAAGTATTTGGAGCAGGTCCATTCCTAAGGAACTATAAGTCCTACTTGGACCAAACTTGCAAGGATGATGCATCTAAGGATGGACACTACCAGACTTGCTTCGGATGCTGGATCTAACCTAAATTTTCCAGATGAGTGACCAGGTTAAAGTTTTTGGAGCAGGTCCATTCCTAAGGAACTATAAGCCCTACCCAAACCAAACTTTCACGGATGATGCACCTAAGGATGAACACTACCAGACCTGCTTCGGATGCTGGATCTGACCTACATTTTTCAGATGAGTGACCAGGTTAAAGTTTTTAGAGTAAGGACCATTCCCAAGTAACTATAAGCCTTACTGGGATCAAACTTGCATGGATGATGCATCATCTAGAGATGAACACTACCAGACTTGCTTCGGATGCTGGATCTCAGACCTACATTTTTATTCCCTAGTAACTATAAGCCCTACCTGAACCAAACTGATCAAATTTTATACATATACAAATTTTCATGTTGCTTTACTAATATATCCTCGGCGGGGCATTCATGTCCTATGGACATATTTCTAGTTTAGTTCAGATATGCCATATATAACTTTAATTTCTTCACAGTGAATGAGGAAGCAATGTACAGAACTTTAATCAGTGAGTCTCTAATTTATACTGTTGATTACAGCCATTTACGAGAGTGTTAGTAGTGTAAATGACGTTGAAATATACTGAATACTTAATATTAAAGCTTAAATCTTGAATCTAATATCTGCATTACTGTTAAACTTCACTATGACTTATCAAATAAACAATGTAATTTCATAATCTGAGTTCTATTTTTTTATGTCACGTGAGTCAATGACCTAATATCTGTTTTAGTCCATCAACATGCAGTGTTAATTAAGTTTTGAATATTTCATCTAACTTTCTTGAACCAAATAACCAATTTCAAAGAATTATTGCATAACTCATCAATGGGTATGGTACAAAAATTGTAATATTCTATCCCCCTGTCTGTATGACCGGCGTAAAACGGCTAAGAGGCAAATGAAGTAAACCGGCGAAAACATAAAAAAATGAGTAATTAGTTTAATTACGCTGATTGATAATCAATTAATTAAATCTTATCACATTTTACATTATATAAATATTCCATGTAGTTGAGTGTAACATTGAAAATTTTCACCCCCCCCCCGAAAACCATTGTCAACCGAGGCGCAGCCGAAAATAGTGTCTGTCACCGTCGCCCACTTCAGTTTTTGGATATATTATGTAAAATGCTTTGAAAAATCACATATCTCAAATTCTTTGTGGGCGAAGGTGGCAGAGTATGTTTTCTGAAAGAATATTCCACTGAAAAATTGATGTCTTCTGCAACTTTTTAAGAAAATACGGGAAAATGCAAGTTGATGACGTCACAAATACCATTCAGGAGGTCATGTGGGAAAAATGATTTGTGTATTCTTACTCCATGGAATTCCTATTATTCTTAAAGAATAAATTTTGATTTTCTTACATCACTTTTAGAAAAATACAGGGCTTATAAATTTGTATTGAAACTGTACCTTGTTCTTTATAGCCCCATGCAGGGTCAGAAATTCTGTGGGATATCAATGGTTGTGCTACACAATCTAATTAAAATTAGATGTTAGATCTGCTCGTATACTCACTACACTAACATCTAAAAACATCCCATAGAGGGTCACATCAGAGGTCATATTCTATCAACCAATCATATCGTCGCCTGCAAAATCATCATATCATTGTAGAAGCGGATGTTTAGAGTTGTTTCGAATTTGACCTCTGATGCGAGATTCTATGGGATGTTGTTAGATGTAGTGTAGCAAGTATGCGAGCAGATCTAACGTCTAATTTTAATTAGACTGGGTGCTACACTGATTATACCGGTATATTAAAAGAATATTTTTTTTGAAAATCTCTACTTCTTGGCATTAAACAAAGAAATTAAGTGCATAGTTATGATCAAGTTGCCTCTTCCATAATTGTGAAATTCATGGCTGCTGCAAGGACCCAGGATACATTTGAGGGCAGGATCAGGCTTTATTGTTTATCAAGTGACATGTATCAAAATGCTCTTTTCCAATGGGTATTTAGCCGGTAAACTCAGTACATGTTTTTGATCTTCTAAATTGTGAAATTTATGGTCCAAGAGTCAGGGATTCCTTGAAACTACGTGCATTGATCCAAATATTAAGTTACCAAGTCTTGCAGTGTGATTGGATTCCGCAACTTCAGGATCAACTCCTTTCTGTCCCACTCTAGTGTAAATACTTAAACCACTAGCTGCTACATGAGCAGGACCAAACATATAGCTAGACTAACACTTTATAGGGGTTTTGTGACTACATTGTGCAACATATTTCAATTTAACAGAGGACAATAAAAAATTCTTCTGTAGAATGACATTTAAACACAATTGTCTATTCCAAAATGACTACATATCCGATCTAATTTTGAATGTGTTTAATTCTCATCAGATTTGTAACACCCATTCTACACAATATGTGGCATGAATATATGAAACAGATCTTTTTTCAGTTTTACATAATATATTTCTTTATATATCATCTCATTGCTTTCAAAATAAGTTCTTATGAATCTTGAAAAATCACATTTAAATAGTAAATACATGTAATTAAAATACAATATCACTTCAGATAACATATAAGCTCACCATTTCTTTTTTACATTAAAATGCCTTGTTTACAATGCCAGTGTTTGCGTGTCTACAACTCTGATATGACATGAATTCTGACAACTGTCTTTGATATAAAATGAGATGACATCATCCCAGCCTCCCCATCATTGACAGTTTCTCCTGAAATCTGTTCTGTATATATAAACTAGTGTCCACATATCTATCCACACAGTTCGTTATACAACTCTCGGTTCTGCCATCAAACTTGGCCACCATGGATCCGACACAGATATCCCAGCACATCTCCGTCTGTTTGTTTACCTGCTGTTGTATCTTGGCTTTCTGAACCTCTATCTACAAAATAATCAAAAAGAATGGACTCAATAAATAGTCAACAAACGATCAAGGTAAAAAAATCATTCTGATAATAATTCATATTGTTTTATTCTATTTTCTCTACTTCACTTTTGGATACCTAAGTGTTTGAAGTGGCAAAAGATAAACAGGTAAAATACATAATTTTTACATGATTAGTTAATAAGGGATTGGCTGGATAAAACAGGTTGAAAAAAAAATTGAAATTATTAAAAAAGAACTTTTAGATTACTTCAAAACCATAATAACTGATAACAGGCAAGATTTAGGTTCACAAAACATCAAATTACATAAGTTTCACTGTATATCACAATTTTTGTGAACCTTAAATTATGATTGTTTAGTGTTAAAATTCTACATGTAAGTCAAACAAAGATAAAATACACCTAAATACTGTAAATCAACTTTTATTCGAGATGACTTTATTTCATGATTAACCAGGGATTAACTAGTTTACGACGATTAAGGTTCGCGATCAAGCCTTTTTGGATCTGTTGTTGATAGACACATACACTTTAAGGTCTGGTTCTCAGCGAGAAATACTCGTGATGACAAGGCTCTCGTGAACTTCGCGAAAATTTCTCGCACACAAATAAAAGTCGGTTAACAGTATTTAAATTTTTTAAAATTGAGAATGCCCTTAAATGTCATAGAGTGCCAGAACAACCCATTCTGACAGCATCCTGGTTTATGAATAATATATTTTTTAAATGATGATGTCACAATGTGAGTATAACAACAACTAAAAGTACAAGAGGCCCAGGGGCCACAGCGCTCACCTGAGCACATCGGGCTTGAATTTACTCCCCCCCCCACCCTCCAGGCGTTCATCATTTGAACCTACACTACCTGAGGATGATTCCATATAAATATCACTAATCATAGCTTTGAAGTACTTGAAAAGAAGATTTTAAAAGGTTTCCCTATATATCCCTATGTAAAACTTGGGTCGGCCATTTTGATCCCACCCTAGCCCCGGGGGTCATGATTTGAACAAACTTGAATCTACACTACCTTAGGATGATTCCACATGAGTTTCATCTTTCCTGGCCCAGTGGTTCTTGAGAAGATTTTTAAAGATATTTCCTATATATTCCTATGTAAAACTTGGGTCGGCCATTTTGCCCCACCCTAGCCCCGGGGGTCATGATTTGAACAAACTTGAATCTACACTACCTGAGGATGATTCCACACGAGTTTCATCTTTCCTGGCCCAGTGGTTCTGGAGAAGAAGATTTTTAAAGATTTTTCCTATATATTCATATGTAAAACTTGGGTCGGCCATTTTGGCCCCACCCTTGCCCCGGGGGTCATGATTTGAACAAACTTGAATCTACACTACCTGAGGATGATTCCACATGAGTTTCATCTTTCCTGGCCCAGTGGTTCTAGAGTAGAAGATTTTTAAAAGATTTTTCCTATATATTCCTATGTAAAACTTGGGTCGGCCATTTTGGCCCCATCTTTGTCCCGGGGGTCATGATTTGTACAAACTTGAATCTACACTACCTGAGGATGATTCCACATGAGTTTCATCTTTCCTGGCGCAGCGGTTCTTGAGAAGAAGATTTTTCCTATATCTTCCTATGTAAAACTTGGGTCGGCCATTTTGGCCCCACCCTTGCCCTGAGGGTCATGATTTGAACAAACTTGAATCTACACTACCTAAGGATGCTTCCACACGAGTTTCATCTTTCCTGGCCCAGTGGTTCTGGAGAAGAAGATTTTTAAAGATTTTTCCTATATATTCCTATGTAAAACTTGGGTCGGCCATTTTGGCCCCACCCTTGCCCCGGGGGTCATGCTTTGAACAAACTTGAATCTACACTACCTGATGTTGCTTCCACATGAGTTTCATCTTTCCTGGCCCAGCGGTTCTGAAGAAGAAGATTTTTTAAAAATGCCATTAATTTTTAACAAATTCATGATTATCTCCCCTTGGAAAAGGGCGTGGCCCTTCATTTGAACAAACTTGAATCCTCTTCACCCAAGGATACTTTGTGTCAATTTTGGTTGAAATTGGCCCAGTGGTTCTTGAGAAGAAGATGAAAATGGGAAAAGTTTACGACAACGACAACAACGACAACGACAGACAACGGACAAATTTTGATCAGAAAAGCACACTTGAGCCTTCGGCTCAGGTGAGCTAAAAAGTAACATGCACTTCAGTATTGTGTTTGGATTTAGCAGCATCTACACTTTGGATTTTAAAGCCAAAATTTATGACATTTATTCAAGTATTATTCTATTTTCATTTGATTGTTCATCATTTAATATCCCATGCAAGAATGGTTGATGCATTTATAAAGCTGTACATCACCAGTTTTTTGTTATCTGCTACAAAATTTGAATCATACACAAGGTGCTTATGGTTTTACCAATGAGGACTTTTTTATCCTGCCCATGCCTATATTGTACAATGACAAAGACTCATTTTCTGATGCCTCATTCAAAAGACCTGTAATTTTATGATGGGTTCTTGGACAAAGAACAGTCAATCTGTGTCAGGAGAATTGTTTTCAAACCTTAAGCAAACAATTAAGCACTGGTCTACCCTGACTGCAATTATAAGAAATAATTAATTATTATTATTAAGTAAATTTAAGAGCTCATTTTAATTAGTTTTATTTACACTGAAATTTATCTACAGTGGAGCCTCATTTATCTGGACACTTTGGCTCCTAGTCAATTATCCAGATATGTGAAGCATCCGGATACCTGAATTACTAGTTAAATAAGACAAAATAACTTTAAAAAAGTTCTGTTCAATGTAAAATCAACTGCATACATGCCAACTTTTGAAAATTCCCATGGGGGATTTTGCGCATGACGACAATTTTCAAAGCTTTAAATTCGCGACATTTTGTCGTGAAAATAAATGATTATGAATTACTTTTTTTTATTATAATATTGATAACACTTATTAATACAGCACAAATAAAACAATACAAATTAAAGTTTTATTTTTCCAAATTTAAATATCTTTGCTTATAATAGTTGTCACTCTGTTTTATTAATTTACATTTTGTTTCTTGTATGTACCCTTAAAATCAAGTGTCACTTTATTCCCTATAAGTAAGTACATAGACAGTGCATAATTTATTTTATCTCACACACAAAACAATTTGGAGAAATAGGCCTGCCTAATTAAATCATGAATTTTTTAACAAGAGCTCCACCCCCACCCATCCCAAAGAAAAATTAAAATTGTAAAAGACTACATCATGAACATGATGAGCTTTTGCAGTCTTGGCAGTGCCTTATGGGTCTCTGGTATTTCCTTGACATATATGTAAACAAAGAAATACAATGTTCAATATGAGTATGATCTATGAGAGAAGGGGGGGGGGGATTCAGTGTACTTAACATGAGATTATTATTTAATCTAATTATTTTCAATATTTTTTTTAAATTGACAAAGTATACAATATTTTTATTAGTAGCAGTTAAAATCAGCAGCTATATATGCTTTGAAATTTTCTACTTTCGTTTTTAAACAAGAATAGATATGGGTTACCCCATATCCAAAGATATTCGACTGTTAGATTTAATATGTTTAACAGTGTTTATAATGACGTTAATAAAAAAAAAACTGCACTGTCTAATTATGGAACTGTTGTAAATATCGTGATTCCATAGCATTACGGTCACCCAGTCTCCTAACAAACAGTACACATAGGCCTACATGTACCTGTAGCCTTGGTCTACACACGTGCAATGGAGCTGTCACACGCATCCAGCGAGCTCGGAGAAACACGTTTTGTTTTGCCGAGAAGTTACGGTGTCAGACAAAACTTTTCTTTTCTTAATTAGATCATATAAATACGAATTCTGATTAATAAAAATTATACAATCCCTGTTGAACTTTATATAGTGTGTTCTAACCTTTGCATCTGCAACAACTTGTGTTTAAAATGGCCGGGTTGGGAAAATCAGGACCGGGTCGGAAAATTCTAAACTGAAAACATGGAAAACCTTTTTTGTTTTGAAAATAACTGAAATATACTAATATATTTGTCGCAGAAATTACTTACATTATTCAAGTTCTATATATAATGGTATGCTGAACTTCAACACGAACCCGAATCTCCAACCCATGCAGTTCTCGTTTTGTCACACATACCCTACAGTTTACAAAGTGTACACACGAGCAGGCCAGGGATTGAAAATTCCGTCATTTAATAATACACACACACAGAATGATTAATTTTTTCTTTAAGAACAAATTGTATGATAATTAACGGACTATAAACATGTACTTAATACAATTGTTGATATAGTATTATCAATTCATTGGTGAAAAGATATGAATCGAAGAATGACCTAATTATTCTCTGTTATCAAACACGTAAAAAAAAAAGGCTGAGGAGGGAGCGAGCGTAGGAATATTGATATTTTTTATTTGCATTTCGGGGGGAAAGTGACTTTCTAATGATATTTTGACGTTCTTTTTGATTTCTTTAACGTATGACATACACAACTTTACTCTTATCATGAACAATAATGTTGTATCTACTTATCATGATGGAATTATTTTGGTCGGACCAATATGTGTGAGCTGCCGCTGAATACAGTTATATATCTTGCAAAGATAGTATGCATTGATCGAATATAAAGAAAAAACGATCTTTTTGGATTCCAATTTTATTCTTTGATTATCATTTTATTGACTTTAATTTTTGTTTTAAATACAATGACTAATAATTAAGCCATTAATCTATGTGTTTCACTTTCGTACCCCTTCAAACTGAAAAGATTAATCCCCTAACTGCTCCAGGCTGTAAGTTACCTGTACCTGGACAGCAGTGTGTGCGTTGAAGCGAGAAGTGATTTCCTGTGGCTAATTAACTTTGCATGCTAAATTAACATAATCTCAGCGAGATTAAAATAAACAATGAGACTTATCTGTGTGGATTGAATAAACAACTCTGATATTCTTATCCCGATAGACAAAATTCGGCGGTAGGGAAACTTAAAATCTGAATTTTTTCAAATCGGGAAATTGGGTCAATTTTTCTCTCCCGATCGGGAAGGCGGGATGAAAGGGTAAAATCGGGAGGATCCCGCCTAAATCGGGAAAGTTGGCATGTATGCATCTGGAAACTGAAGCGTCCAGATATCTGCAGGTCCACTGTATATTGGACATGTATGTACTTAATAATAAATATTGCATATTAATATCATATTTTATGTAGAATTTAATTAACTTTTCTTTGGGGAATAACTACAAGTCTTTACCTGTACTTCTTGTGCAAACTGTGGATCTATTTGCTGGTCATCCATTTTGATCTGAAAAGAAAATATGGCTTGTGTCCATAAAAAATGTTGAAGTCTAATATTTTAATTTGAAAATGCTTCATTGTATATCAAAGATGGAAAAGAAACACAACATCCTATTTTAAGGGAAAATATTATACTTGGGATATAAATTGTACTTAAAATGTAAAGACTTCTTCAACTTTGCGAGTATTGGTAAGTTTAAATGTGGAATCACTTTCAAAATGTTGAACGATTTTCATCTATTCATACCAGAACCAGAATTTCAGTTTGAGATCAAAAAGGGTTTTAAGGGTTTGCATCTGTTCTTCATAAGTAAAGCAGCAATTTTCAGAAAAATTAATTCTCCTTTCTTCTTTCTGAAGCGATGTCATGGCTTCCAGAAAATGACTTTTTCTGATGCAACAATATACATGTAATAAACAAGACACTGAGATAATTCGGATCGTATACTAATTTTTTCTATAAACGTTATTTGCCACAGTTAAACATTTTCTTCGATTTTCCTATGCTCATCGATTTTGTATTAGAGGAAGACACAAATGCTACCTTCTAATTACATCAAATAATTTCATTAAACTTACAAAAATGAATTAAAAGACTTTTCCACTGCCGTATTTTGCCCTTCGGATTCGGTCTCCACGTGTGTGAATATATTTGTGCAACTACGATCCCGATGTTTATTATTACGGAGACATATAAAAAAAAAACACAACATTTTAATATGTCTCTCAGTCTGATTATTATCATTAAAACAACCCCACAAGCACTCCACGTATTAAAGCTTTTTTAAATGAAAAATCCCAATTCTATAATAATAAGGTTTTTATTAGGTCCTATAGGATTTTTTTTGATTTATCGGAAAAAGAATTTTACAAACATCAAGCGCCTGATAACAATCTACAAATTCTTGCACAATCATTATAGCGACGAAAATTTATTACTGAATAAAAACAAACGAATAAATAATTGAACGTGCATGTAATCAACTGTAAAATGCCAATCGCATCATCTTGGGCCTTTCCATCAGAGTTCCGATTGTTTACATATGGTCTGTGACGTCATAATTGTTTCTATTGTGACGTCATAAGCATATGACATCATAATACAACAATGTAGTACTAAAACAATGTTGTGGTACTCATAATGTCTGTATCAAAGGATTCATTTGAAAAAGCTCGTTTAAAAGCCCATTCTCGTATACTGGAATGGGTAGAAGAAACGAAGAGTGCTGGCATAACGCGTCTTCACGATCGTTATGGGGAAGTGTTTAAACGAATTGAATATAAAAGAAAAGATGGAAGTGCAAAGTTCAATTCCGGCGAAAAAACGAAGGCTTCCACGAAAAATGAATACAACAAACGACAATCAAAAGGAGTGTCTAAAACAGAACAAAAAATGAATAAGGAGAACGTTTCACCCGAAACGCGTAAATCACCACCAGAGAGATGTAGAAGCCGCCAGACACCTGATTCCAGGAAATGGCAGCAGCTGGACAACCGCAGCTCGCACAACAGAAGTTCCAGAGCGGGATTCACTAGCATATGTAGCATTGAAGCTGTGTCTCTTCTGTGTGACGATGAAACCGTGAAAAATTGTGAATCCACCTTCAACCTTCCACCTATCATTGATAAAAATAAGAACCCCCGAAAATTCAAACATGATAAAGACTCTATTCGATTGATACTGGGGACAGCTAAAATGAAACTAAAATCACAAAAAACCTTATACCGGGAAAAGTTAAACGAAATGCCAGATAAAGTTGACATTGAAAAAAATGTCAAAAAGTTAGAAATCGGTAATACGGTAAAGAGGCTTAGGAGGCAGAGTGTTTTTCGAAGAGCGCACAAGAAAAAAAATCTACCCGGAGAGGGCAGCCAGGACTCTTCGCTGCCTTTGTATGTGATAACATCCTCCGACGGAATGGAGCGAAAGAGATCCTCCACCACGCCGATTCAACGTCACACCCAGTCCCGCTCTGGATTCTTGCCTCAGTTAAATGAAATTTACTCTAGTGACACAGAACTTCCCACATGCATGCGCACAGCTTCTTCCTTGGCTATTGGAACAGAACACTCGGAGGATGTAATGGCTAGACCTGTTTCGGCATCCAAATTTACGCATGTAAGAGAAAAAAATCTACATGCATTCGTTAGTATATGTACATGTATCTACAATTCTACATACATTCGATTGTATTTAGAAACAGACAAGATATGTTATTGCCGTATACGAATTACATGATTTTAATAAAGTATTTGCCACTTTCACGTAATATGTAAATGATACAATATTTAAATTGACAATGAAATTCATCAATTTCTTCTTGTTTAATTTGTATAAAAGGCCTGTCATTAGGACTACATTTGCCTTCTTATTGTAGGAGAGAAATTTTGAGAGAGAGGGAGAGAGAGTTTTATATCCTGCATTATGTAGCCTTAAATAGGGGGGGGGGGATGCTAAATAACACTTTCAATTTCAGATGCACTTTTTGTTTTCATACATTTCTCTTCTTTCATTACTATGGATGATACAGACGATTCCCTTATTACCAACACTGCGTCGAGTCAAATCCGCAAAGAAAAAGGGAACAGATTCGAAGGAAACGCCACATCAAGCCAAAAGCGATTATATAAAGCCAGTAAGATAACATATGTTTAAAAGAACGGTTCATATATTTATTTTTTTCAAATGTTAATTTTGAATCTATAGCTACTTGGTTTAAACAATGCTCGCATTTGTTAAAAAATATTCCCCAATTTTAAATATTAGTTTATCTTTCTTTTACAACAGACTCAGTATACACTGAAAAGATACATCAGAAAAATTATGAATGTATTGCATCTGCTAAGAGTAACAAGGCAAAAGGTGAAAGTAGATCTCCTTGCGGAATGCCAAAATCAGAAGAGGAGAGATCAGAGAAAATCGAAGAAGGAGCAATTGACATTTGATCCTAGTTACTTCAAATCAGCTACAACAACATACGGAGGATTGTCTAACATTGCCCGGAATGCTTTATGGAAGCCAATCGGTCACAGAACTCTGGACGATGTTCGAATACTTACTGCAAGTCAAATTTTTAGTTTCAAAAAAAAAAAAAAAGTAAAAAATTACGTTTTTTGGAACACTCTGTCAAATAACTGTTATGAATTTTTTGTAAAGGTTTCTCATGCACCTGTAACCTTTTCCGACAAATATGAAATTGTTTGCAACATATTTTAGAATAAGGATGACTAAATATCAGAAATGCTTTTAGAAAAATATTTTTAAGAAATTAACAACTCCTTCCCTAATTTTAGGAAGTTATTTATCGTCTGCCATTCTTTACAAAATACTCTCGCTCGGTGAAGGAAAGGCTGGCACAGGTAGTCTGGTATGATCAATTTGAAGACGACAGGATCATAATACGACAAGGTGATATAGGATCTAGAATGTATTTCGTCATTTCCGGTTATGCATCCGTACAAAGAACCGATATAGACCCTAGAACAAGTAAGTTACCTATGATAAAAGCAGAATATTTTGCTTACATGAAAGTAAAATTGTGTACATGTAGATTGCGAGTTGTGGGTTAGCAGCTCCTTTCATGTTGCAGTATCTGAATTAAATGACATTTGCGAAAATTCTGAAAATTGCATGTTTGTATATTTATTAAAAAAAAACTCTTCTTTTCCAGACTCCAAAATAATCCAGCATCTATATGATGTGACAGCAGGATCAACATTTGGGGAACTTGCTTTGATAAGAAATATGGCTCGAAACTTCTCAGTGATTTGCAAAGGTATGTTTGCTTACCCTTGTCAGTTTGAATGTTTTGATATATTATGTCACACACATTTGACTTGAGAAACTAAAGTATAAACAAAACACGTCAACACGGGATATTTGAATACCGGTATATATGTTCGTCTAGTAGTGACAAAATTATTTCAGGATTTGGGGTTTCCATTCAATAATTTCAATGCAACCTAAGTGCAGCTGTTCTTTATGCTTATACATATCATATATTTATTACAATGCAACACAATGCTTTCTTTTGTTAATAGTGGGCCCTCGTTAAGGAATTCAAATGCTTAACACTATGTTATCCTGAAAAAAAATATTATGCTCATTTATGAATACATTGAATTCAATTAAAATTGAAAATTGTTCAAATGCTGTGTGAGACCTTCTCAAGTAAATAGAGCGAAATTTTGTTGATCCTGAATCCAACTGCCAACCAAGAAACAAAACAAAAACTTATTTACAGTGTATCCAGGCAGTATCTCCAAAAAGGTACATGCATGCTTTTCAACATTTTTCAAAAATTTGAGGCACAAATATAAATTGCTATAAAAAATGTTCAGTTGACCCACAATTTAATGATTGTACATGTACCTCTAGTTTACATGTAATTGAAATGGACAATTGCTGGAAGAAATATTGTCCATCAATTGACGAAATTCTCAAACAGTGACTACGCTAAATAAAATTTTCTGTCATTTAGCATGGAAAAGTTTACTTTCCTGTAGGGCAAAATTATGAAAACATATATATGAATATTTTATTCTAGGCGAATCCGAGTTTCTGAGTCTAAGTAAGGATGAATTTAACTCCATATTGAGAAAGGACTATGAGGATTCTTGGAACAAGCGATTAGACTTCTTTCGAACTTCGAGTTTCTTTGAAAAGTTGTCAGACGACCAAAAGCGGCAAATGGCTGATATGTCGAGAATAATAGAATTTTCCAACAATCGGGTGAGAAATAGATATATACATGTTGTATAAATTTAAACTTTTGGTTATGTCCATCTTTTTTTTCTAAATTTCACTTTGATGCTTGCTAAAAAAAATTATGGACATTAAGGAAGGTCCATACCATTACGGATCCTGTTCTAATTTTATACAATTATAAAATTCAATATGCAATGTTCTTATAAATATCGAGCATGCACGTGAATTTTTATTTTTTTTCCCCACACTATAATGTTAATAACAGACACTCATTAATACCCTTCTATACAAAGATAATTATGTTTGTATTAAAAGGAATATCAGCAATTTTCACCCCTTAAAAAGTTGACTGTTGTTGATTGTAATTTATTTCAAGAATGGTGAGCAAATCATTGTGCAGTTAATAATTTATGTAATTCTATCCGTTGTCATGCATTTTAACCTGTTGCTATGGATCTATGGATTTTTACATTAGATTTTTTCCCTGCCCCCTTTTTCGATCCACGCATACATTACTAAATCAAATTAATAAAGCTGAATTGGGTAGAGGTAGTTTTTATTTTATGAAAAATACAACAATATTTTCTGAGTATTTCAGGTCATCCATGGAAATGTTCCCATCATGACTCATGACGTTTTCTTCATCAAGTCCGGTAAATGTGAGATCGTGAAGAAAGTCGCCTTTGTCAGATGTGTTTCTCCCTATCTCCGACCGCAGCTCGTATTACAAGGAACGAAGTCGTCTAAAACTGACCCTAATACGTTCCTTGACAAGCCGTACGGTCGTCGTTACCGTCGCCTGACCCCCGAGAATCATTTCCTCACGGTGCTGCAACTGACAGCGGGGGACTACTTTGGAGTCGGTAAGAGTACATCAGAGAGAATTACAGTAACCATGCAATATATAATATATGAC